CCCCCCACATCTTAGTGTCATCAGCAAACTTGAACAGGGTGCTTTGCACCCCCTCGTCCAAATCACTGATGAAGATATTGAACAGTGCAGGCCCAAGGACCGAGCCCTGTGGGACCCCACTTCCCACGTCCTTCCAGGTCGAGAAGGACCCATCCGCTACCACCCTCTGGGTGCGACTCTCTAACCAGTTGGCAACCCATTGGACTGTATGGGTGTCTGCGCCACAGTCCCCCAGCTTCCTAATGAAAATGGGGTGAGAGACAGTGTCAAAAGCCTTCCTGAAGTCCAGGAAAACTATATCCACTGCCACCCCTGCATCCAGTGATTTAGTGACCTGGTCGTAAAAGGCCACCAGGTTGGTCTGACTTAAGCTGCTAGAGGATGAAAACTCAGTAAGATGGCTTACACTATTCTAATCAATTGATCTGTTACTGAAAGAGAGGAAATTTCAGATTTCTGGTAGTTTTCAAAATAATTAGAGCTCTGACATAAGTGTCACATTAGTACCCTATCAAATTAAAGCAGACAGACTCATTAACATTAAGATACAGTTCCCTCTAAAATTGCTACCATCAGTTCAATGATAATTTACAAAAAACAATCTGATAGTGGGGGAAACGTATATGACTACTTTGTTAGCAGTTCTAACACAAATAAAATGTACAAAAGCAGGGAAGGGCAGTAAACAAGTTAAGGTTCTCGGCTGGCTCCTTTCACGCATATCATTTTGCCAGGAAATTTAAGCTAGAACTAATTTCATATAGTCTTTCCAGATTAAAATTTTACAATCAGTTTCAGAACAAGAATTTTCATCATTAAGTGCATACTGCATCATTTTCTCAAACCTAGCACCAACTTACATTATAGCATCAAATAGGTCACACACCTAATAATAGTTACTAGGGATTGTCCTGTGCAAAAAGATTCCTGACAGTCCCTCTCTTTGAAGTCCAGAACAGCAACTGTCATGAGCCAAATGTTCTTACCTCTTTCAAACCAGGACTAGAAGTGAGAAGCAAATTATTCATTTCACTTTGCTTCTTTTGTAGCATTCCACACCCCCCGGTAAAGACTGGAACCATTTGTGTGAAGTCCCAGACAGACAATACTGTAGTTTACATTTGAAATGCTGCCTTATTTTTAAGTGTTAAAAATCACTTTAGTGTTCTTCAGAACTGGATGGGTTCAGCTCCAGAGCTTGGCAACTGAAAATAAGTGAATTTATTTGGGCTGTGCCATATTGAACTCACTTGACTTAAAGATCCTGCAGGAGGACCTGAACAGAAAAATCCCCAGTTTAATTAGAAGTAGCAACACAACACAGACCTAAAGGAAAAAATTAACTTGTAATACAGACACAAGTAAGGCTTTACTGGAGGTATGTTACAGCAACTGCTCACAAGACAATTCTTACTCAAGTGAACACGAGGACTCTGTTGTCAGCCTCTAGCATACTTACAAGTGTGTGATGTAATAGACAACAGCCCAGCCTTCGATGGGAAATCCCTGAGAGGAGATGTAGTGGTAGTCAATCTAGAAGCAAAAGGGTACAAGATGTCACTTCATAAATCTCCTTCAGCAGAATCTCAACCCCTACTAGAACACGCATTTCATTTGCAATGGCCATTTCAACTTGACTAGAATGCTAACAGCAATTTGTGCAGGATTCACATCTGTGGTATCCCCCTGAAGGATACTACAGATGGGCTGCCAATTTGTACAGGTTTTAGACTAACCTAGTAAAACTAATCTAGATGGTGCCCATTTGTCACATCCAGCCCTTGCCTATATTTAACAAAACCGCTTGCATTTGAGATACTTGGCATTTTACTAGTTACTACAGTTAAATTGCATTAACCTAATAGAGACTTTTCTTGCCTTGCCTGGAGTTGAACTACTTGAACCTAGTGCCAGAGACATTAGGTGTTTGTCCTCATTAATAAGATCCTTCCAACAGGAAGGCAACATCCAAACAGAGTTCTTTGTATTACTAGGATTTTAAAGATATTCCACGACTTAAGACTTCTAATTTTAGATCTGCTATGACAAATTGAGATACAAATATGGATTTCTAGAGAAATGGTCCTGAAGAATGTATATAAAACCAAGAAATTCAAGTTCGCCTGTCAATGTTTACACCACAGCCATGAAGCTAAAGAAGTCCTTTGGCCTAAAATTCCAAAACAGACACAGATGGCTGAAGCTTTAGAATTCACGGAATTTGCTCTACCCTAGCTTATTGTCACATCACATTGGGCTGTGATCATCAGTTCTATTATAAATCAAGCTTTATTAGGACTTGATGGAAAACCCAGACTTCCACAAAAGTGGACTGATTCATTAGGCAGCACTCTTCACTTGCAGAGCCTTTAAAGTATACACATCTGTGCCAGGCTGACAGCTCTGCCAATTATGATTTTGAAGTTCCCAAAGAACCATTTTCAAGAACAATTACATTAGTTATATGCCCTGATTAAATTTAACTTCTTTAAGATGTTTAATTGACAGAATCTATATTCACTGCCCTTCTAAGGAACACTGCATTGCAGTATTAGTACAGGACTTTTAGGTTGCAACTCTGAACATGTGCATTTCAGTGGTGAGAGAAATGAGCCCTATATAAACAGTTTGGGAAGTGCTTTGAAATCTCTCATTAGGAAAGGCAATATAAATATACATGCTCCGTTTCCTCTGATACAACTTACCCTGGCTCATTTGTTCCATTTCCCACATACTTCTCTTCCACTTCCCCATCATCCATTCCTGCCCCACAAACTCCAAGAGGACATATTATACATACCGCATGGAACACTAAAGACAGAGACTTTGTAAAAGGGAGAGCTGCCATTAGCCAGTGAATCTTAAACACATCATTCCTGTCAAAAGGAGACAAAATGGCATGAAGTAAGAGCTCCTACAGGAATGTTAAGGAAACATCCATTTGAGAACAGTATCCTATATAAACCCCAAGAACTGCTACACCCTGACATTACTATTTAAGTTAAAATTATGGCACGATTTTATTTATTCTGAAGTTAAGCAATAGTCTACAGAGCCCTTTAACTGGATAGTTTCAATATTTATATGCAGTATGTACTTCTGCAGCAATACCATCTTAAATAGAGCCCTTGAATAAGGATCAGAATTAACTTTAAGAAATTTAAGTTAGCTTACACAGATCCCCAACACATGCAGCCATTTATATCTGGTAGAGAGCTATAATTTGCCATCCTCATGGACCCCATGGGAAAGACGTAGCTGAAACAATGGCTATGAAACAGACACTCTGTTTCACTAATACCAAGTGTAGTTTCATTGTGCATCTGGTCTAGCAGGCGCACAAGCCTTAACCCAACAAGCCTGCTCCAAGTGGTGGGCATCATGTATTATTCACATGTCTAACAAATTTAGTTCTTTTCATTTTGAAGCCATTAAATTGCTAATTATCCACATTATATCCCTAAAAGAATTAGCAAATCATTATCTTCACACTGCAGCATTGCAAGCTGAGGCTGAGAAGCAAAGTGCCTCTGCCAGTTTCACTAAGCAAGTCACTGAAAAACCAAGAAGCTTAAAACTTCTAATTATATTCCTGAACCTGTATTCTAACCATCAGCACATGCCTCAAATAAGGAAGCTTTGGACCTTTTACTTATGAACAGGGATCCTGGTTTTCTCTGTTTAAAAATCACAAATTTTCCAACTAAAAACCTCACTAATTCTCTGATTTAAAAAACCCCAAAAATCTGTGTTTTTCTTCTTTAAATAGAAAATCCAAGTTTTTTCACAGCAAATGGAAAACCCGGATCCCTGCTCATGACCACCATTACAAGATCTAATTATTCTCTCTCCTTCATAATGACAGGTTTTTTGTTAACCCACACACAGCCAAAGGATTTAACCACAAGGATAGTGGATATGCATTTCAGATCTGCGGCAAATAATACATTAAAATAAAGAATAAGCCTTTTAGATTCCACTCCTCCTTCAGTATTATGGCTACTTCCTCACTTTTGGAATTTTAGAACCTGAAGCGTGACCTCTAGAGAATGGTTTAGCTAAAGGATATCCTCCTCAAGTTGTTCTTTCAAAAAAAAAAAAAAAAAAAAAGCTCCAATTAGCAAGTCAAAGGGCCATTAGGAATCCCCCCCACAAACTCATATTTATCTAGACGCTGTTGCACTCAAATGGGCAAGACTTTAAAACCACAAAGCTGTCTTATTGTAATACATAAAAGGCTGCATCAAGTGCATTTGGATGGAGTGCAGAGGAGGAAGAGGGGCAGGAAACAAAGCAAACAGTTTCTCAGTCTACCTTGTTCTTATTTGCCCTTGCACTGCAGAGAAGGAGTTTGTTTACCTGCGCTTACGGAGAACATGGATCCACACAGTCCCAGAAAGGAAGAAGAAGAGCGCCATAGAAATGTAAAGCTTTGGAAGTGGAATCTCATCTGCTGAGAGATAACTTTCAGGATTCTTTTCAGTGATCTCTATCTGAACGGATACAAAGAAATGATAGGGTCTATAGCTGAATGAGATTTTGATCACCACCATGAAGCTAATTATTGGAGTTTCTGATCACAGAGTACTAGTTTACAATTCATATTCCTAAAGTGGCATTGGCAACAGAAGTAAAGATTCTCTTGCCTCCTCCCCCTGCCATGATAAAGCTTTTCACCCTGAAGAATCCCAGAGCACTTTGCACGCAGGAATCACCTCACTGGTATGCAGCAGCTATATGTATAAGGTAGAGTCAGGAAGGTAGAGTATAAATTTCCTAAACCACTGTTTTGTACAAGGAGAGAACTTTAGAGTTTGAGCTCAACTGCAAGACCCCACCTGTTCAAACCACAATCCACAATTACATAAAGAAAAAAAGAGGTATTAACAGCAATTTTGAATGAATTATTGCCACAGCACATCACAGTTCTAAAGACTACACCCAACCCTCAAAGTTTTTATATTTTCATCTGCTTCTTCTGGCACTGAATTTCTTCCTGCTGTAACATACCTGATGTCACAGATACTTCCTTCAATGATGTCTGTGCTGAACAGTACAATCGAGGATTTTTTATTTATTTATTTATTTATTTATTTTTAAAGATGCTCCCTGCACATTCACCTGCTTTGAACCAAAAGCTGATGCTCCTATGCTGGAGTAGCATGTTTTCATCACTTGATGCTGTTAATTAAGTGAATGCATTAGCTCTCGTGTATGTTACAAGCAATACTCACATCAAGGCTAAACAGGAGCCGATCATTGGTCTGCATATCATTGCCAACACACTTGTAGAAATAAAGGTTGTAGAGACCTTCTTGGTCATCAGAGCTGATGCTAAAATTAAACTGAAAATAAGAACAGAGAGAATCAGCAGGTTTGTAAGAAAGAACAGAACTGCTCTGGTGTTAACACTCTCTATTGAAGCGTGAAACGTACTTGCAGTCATTTAGGGTCAGATCTCCCCTTTGCACAAAACTCACTGTATATCAGAAAGATACCATTAATAGTGTCAAAGTACTTCAGATGCATCAACAATGTACTAAGCTCCTTCATGATGTGCTCTTAAATTCAGACCCACCAACTAAAGGAATCAGTTTTACTTTACTTTTTCCTCATATGATACAACGTCACATAATGAATATTCAAAAGATTAGGGCAGAGAGACAGGATCAACCTTGAGGCTACATGAACTCATCCACCTCCCAAAACACCTTTTCCCACCAACAGTTGATAGCATTTAGTTTTTTAGACAAAAACAAGTCAAAAACAGCATTGAGGTTAGCCAAATGTGTTAATTTGGTCTCCCTTAACAACAGCTGCCACCTAAATTTTTTGTTACAAAGACAAACCATAGCTATTTTCATTAAAGTTCTCTATATTTTTAAGCCTCTAATTACACAGAGCAAGTTTTATTACCTTCTGCCTAGCAAATGAAATAGCATGGGAGACCCAGATCAGAAGAGCAAGTGCTGGTTTACAAAACCAGCTTCTACACCTACATCCCATAAAGAATGAACTTTCCAGATCCTACTCTTAAGAAAGCAGCACAAACAAGGTCTTGTAACAGAGCAGCAGACTTACATTTTTTAGCAAGAGAGAAAGATAGTCCTTTTACATTTTCAGAATGAGGTGCCGACTGAAAACATACCTGGAATGAAACCGTTCCTTTATCATTATGAATAGGGTGTACTTGTTCTATTATGTTCTGGTAGAAGAAGAATAGAGAGCCAGTTACAATTTTGTTTAAACAGATAAACATTGCAATGAATTATGTTATATACCATGTCTTTCTAAATGTGTAGATCAGGAGGTCCCAGTCCCCGGGCTGTGGCCCAGTACTGGGCCATGGCAGGTTGGCTGCCAGTCTGCAGTACAGCTGGCTGCCAAATTGGAAGTGGCTGCGGACCATCAAACTGCGGCTCCCCAGAACAGGGCAGAAAGGCAACGGCTCCTTCCACAGGGCCCGTGGCAGTGCAGGGTTTGGCGCACCTGCCTCCCTGTCTGGGGGGTGGGGGTATCTTTACCTGTCTTCCTGCCAGAAATTCCAGCCACAGTCAGCTGTGACTGCTGGGCCATGGCATAAAAAACTTTGGAAACCCCTGGTGTACATATTACATTGCTTCTATCCTACATCAGTCTAAAAACATTCTTATTTTTTACTACAACTTGTGTCTGGAAGATGGCCCACCCCTTTCCCTTTAGCTTATCCCAAAGGTCTACTAATGTTTCTCTTACCTGAGCTGCTGTTGTACTTCGTTTGAGCTTTTTGCCTAGAGAGAAAGAAGCAGAACAAATTCAGACACTGTTTGCGTTAAAACACTCTCACGTACTGCACTACTTTCTATTTCTGCCTGGCAAATATACTGATGACTTCTAGGCTCTCCTGCTGGTCTGCCTGTCAGTTCTCAAGTGGACTTTAATTGTAAGAGGAAAGTCTCCTCCTCAAGCACTTTTATTAATTCAGGACTGAAGCAGTGATGGATTTCCCACAGTCGCATACCTCCCAAGGAATACTACTCAAGGGGTCACAGTTTCAGCTGCAATGTCCCTAGACTACGTCCCAGTAAATGATCAGAAGTTACCCACTAGCCAGGGGCGGGCAATTATTTTGGGCGGAGGGCTGCTTACTGAGTTTTGGCAAGCAATTGAGGGCCAAATGATAGGCAGCCAGGGGCAGATAAATATTAATTTTCTAAATTTTTAGGAGCCCTGCAGACCGGATAGAATGGCCTGGCGGGCCGCATCCGGCCCACCCCTGTACTAGACCAAGGTTGAGGCCTTTCCCCCAACAAATGCAACTTCCATTTATAGTCTAGAGTTAACGGATATGCTTTGATGGAACATAACAGAGTCCTCAGTCCCACTTGAACAGAACGTATGAGCAACTTTACAGCAGCTGTGATTAGTAGAGTAAGAATTGGAAAAAAAAAAAATGGTAGAGTGAAGCTGAAGCTTGAGAATACTACAGCCAGGCAGCCACTTCAATCCACTAAGACTAGCCTTAAGCATTTTTTTCTTTTTTGCCTGCCCACAGACAGAATACCATAGGCTGTTTACAGGGAATCTCATCACAGCAGGTACTACCAGTTACAGCCACCACTGCTGGGAATCAACTCAGAGGCACATATAGCTTTAGTGCCTAAGAGTGGTTGCTGCTGCATTGCTAATGAGTGGCACAGACTAGGCATCTACTTAGTCCCAATGCTGTGAAAATGACATCATTGGATTCCAGAGGCACAATGTTCTGTTGAACAACACAGTCACAGGCTTAAGCACATAAATGATGCTGAGATGGGTAAGTGTAGAAGCTAGTGTGCCAAGTATTGCCTCAAAGGGGATATATGACTGGCAAATCAAATTAGAATTAGGTCCCATTAATTTCAAAGAGAAAGTTGAGCCCAGATTATACATTCTCATCAGAAAATGCATAGGAAGATCAAGACTGTGGCATATTTTTTTAATTCTTTGTGTGGGGTGAGGGGCAGGGAAGGGAAGTATGTTCACTACCTATACAGGACTACTGCTGAATCATCAAACCCTCCTACTTCATAAATTGAGAGTCAAAAGCAGCTCTCTCTTTTTACAAGAGCAATTTGACAGGATTTCCAGCTGCCCCATCCCTTGGGCCAAGCTTAAGGGAGACCCAGAATGTCAAAGGGGGCTCATTAACAACGACAAAACTAAGAAAGCAAGAAAGGGTCTCACATATACCGTGCTGATGTACAAAGCCTCAGAGTGGCCAATAAAGACCATTGCTTGACATCACTGTGGCAGAAACCAGATAGTCTGAATCGCAATAGCAAATACAAGGGGACAGAATTAATTAGCAGTTTCACCAGAGTTTGGACTCTACAGCAACATGTTTTCATCCATCAGATGAAAGATTCCAGCACCTTAACCAGAAAGGTTCCTACACAGGAACCTACAGCTAGCACTGGGGCCTGGCTGGACAACTACAGGATTAAGTGACTTTGTCATGGCCAATGGCTGCAAAGGGCTGCATGTGCATGGAATAGAAATGCTGGCAGTGGCAGCACAGCCTACTTTGTTTGGACAGGCTCACCTTGGTTTTCAGGATTCTGGCTGCTCTCTCCAACGGCATGCTCAGAGTCACTGGCTTGTTCTGAAGTCTTAGTAGCCTCAGAAGTATTCCCTTCTGGCGTGAAGAAAATTTTAGGCAACTGAGCAGCAGCTTCTGGAGAGAACCTTACTTTCACACTAAAACAAACAAGAGGGGTCTTGTATGTAAGACAGCAAATGGGACAGTCAGCAGCAGACTATTAGGCATAGTTGTGCACAGGAAAACAGACTGCCTAACACAGTAAAAAGAATGGATAAAGAAGCTGGGTGGCATTTGGACTAAAAGCAGGGAAGAGAGTAACATTCAACTCAGGGGACACACTCGAGACAACTACCCACTAAGATGGCTTTGAAGACAACTTCCTCTGAAACAGTAGCTCCTGAATTCTTTAAAACATATTAACAAATTTCCTGTGTTATTTAGAGTGAGCAGACCAAAGACTAACCCAAAACTGTTACCATGAGACATGAAGTGAACCCGCCAATAAAAGGGGCCCTGAAGAGTTACAGCAGGTGAACAGTGAAATAATTTCTTCAGTTTTGATAGTTTTAGATGTTACAACTAATAACAGTGAAGTCTTTCATACAGAATACAATTTTAATTTGAACAATTGTGGAGAGTGGGCAGCGGCACACGGAAACAGGGAAAGGAATACTTGCATTACAAGATACATTTGCTACAAGCATCTCAAAATATGTTATAAGTATTATGTCTTAACACCATGTTAGAAGTATCATGTCTTAACCATTCAGTAGTAGGTACATATCTGATTCATATAGAAAAGGGGCAACTGAAACAGGATTTTAAATAAAGTTAAGTGAGAACTGTTTTTTTTTTTATTGAGCAAGTGACAGCGTTGGGAATAGAACCTAAGAATCCAGGTTCTATTGCTTCTAACCATTAAAGCAATACTTTCTATTCAGGAGAGACAGTGGGGGGGAGGGGGGTTTAAGATAGTACTTGACAGTAGGACTGAAGCAGATCACAAAATGTTATCAGTTCCCCTTGGCTTCTCTAATGTCATGCATGCTTGCAGTAAAAATGGCAATACAGGCAGAATAGTTTTCCTATATTTTCCAGCTAGTGCTGACTTTGCTAGATTGATCTATAAGTGTGGAAAATAATATACAGAAATGAGAGACAGAGCACGCGCCGAAGTCTTTTTCTGAGTTTTACTCACACATCATTTTTGAGGTCGAGGAGTAGAAGAACAACAGAGACATCCTGCTCTGGTTTTTTTTTCAAGATACAGTAATCCACTTCTTCATCCTGACAACGCAAGAGCAAAACATCTCACATCTGCCCTCTTGTTAATACCAGAATCTTTAAGTGGCCTGTTGGGCTAAAAAAATTGGGACGAGACCTACTCAAAGGAGCAGATAAGGCCAGTCCATCACACCACCCATAGAGTAATTTAGATTAATGGGTAATCCTTCTCCATCAGTTCTTAGAATGCTGCTGACCATGGGAACAATTTTTAGAGAGTCTGATTAGTCTTCAGTCTATATACAGAACCTTCACCCCTTCAGTCTTACCAGGTAAGTGTAGAGTCCATCATTCTTCGTTCGGTCCAGAGTGAATCCCACCTAAAAACACAAGCATTTCAATGTCACTGTTGCATTAAATCCAAAGCTGAAATTCTTCAGCACCAAAAGTCAAATCACCAGATAGATGAAGACAGTACTTCCACCTAGCTTAGTTTATTTCGAGGCAGTTACATTTGAGGTCCAGGAGTAGAAGAACAGAGACACCGGGTTGCCTACGTTATTTGCCACATTGGGTACAGAACTTACTAATACAAATGGATTTGATGCTTCATCCAGCTAAACTAAGAAAGAAGGCTGTCAGCACCTACACTGTTTCAACTCAGCCAATTAATTCTAAACCAACCAACCAACTCAGCATCTCATTAGCTTCTTCAAATTGAGGCTACGGGGATCATTCATATTTTAATCCACTGTGAACTTTTTTTTACTACCTTTCAAAATCCTTTTGCTGAAGGACATCGTGTGACTTGGGTGTATAGAAAAATAAAAACAATAAGGAATTTTTTCCTTTTTTACCAGTCCCATTTTATATTTAACAAGGCTGCATCAATAGACATTGCATTAACAGCCCACCTTGCATCAACAGACATTGTAGTAACTGTAAGTTTCCTAAATATTAATCCATGCAATATTTAAAATGGTATAAGATACCAATGCAGTTTTCCTTCGCATTGGGAACTTATCAGTCCAGTACAGCAAACTATTTTGTGATGTTGTTTAAAAGAACAGTAGCTCTACTGAGAAAGCCATGGTGGAGAACTGTTTAGGAAACCATGAGATACCTACTTCCTAAATAGATCAATGGAGAGCAAGTGAGTTAGAGCACACCATAAAAGAAAAAAGGATGTTACGGTAACTTGCCAGGAGCAGAGACAGACCCATTTACTAGTATAACTCTACCAAGATATCCATACTGAAATGAATTAAATCCCAGTAGTGAGTAGCAGCCATTATAAGACCAAATTAAGACGTGAACCCTAATCAGAGTCAAGATATTGAATTAAAAGACTTTTTATACAAAGCAGAGTATAGGCATTAGCATAGAGTTTGGTCAATCCACAAGCAGCACACACTGAGCAGTTAAAGAGAAGTGACAGATTTCTCTTAAGAAAACTACTGGAGTGGGAGCTCCCACCCTTGTTTAATACTTGTTACTTCCATTAGCATTAAGGGGAAGGGTCTCATTATGCACACAAGTCACTTACTGCTAGGTTGTTTTTGTCTTCAAGGGCTTTAGGCCCTTTCAGTGAAAGACTGCTGACATTGACCTTCATTAAACCATCCTTGAAGAAGCCAAACGTGTTGAGGTGAACTCTCTGCCTCACATCATCCTGCAAGAGATGCAACTGTTAGCAACAATGCAGGTTTCTAATATACCAATGGGGGAAAAAAAAGAAGTTGGAGAAGAAGTGTGGGGGGGGGAAATCACAGCATCTCTATCAAGTGTTAACTCAAAATGAGTGATGGGTCATCCACTCAGAGGGGCCAAATACAAGTCAGCTTTAAATCAGAATCCTTATTTTTTCCATCAGTAATAGCCCAGCTGTATTCAAGACAAAGATTAAAAACAATCTGGAGATGGTATTGTTTTGGCACCACTGCCAAACTTAATATTGGTACAAAAGCAAAAGCTGTCAGTAAATCAAAACTGCTACTGTTTGAACACTAGCTGTTCTCTCTGAAAAGCAGCTGTCATTGCAGCAGATTAGAAAGGAACTAGTTTCCTCAAATTCACTTGCCTAGCCAAAGCCCAGCTCTCATTTAGATGCCTTATAAACATCACATTCTCCTGGCATCTCTCTCATGTTAAACAGGCCCAACGCTCAGATGATCAAACACCTGGGATGCTGGAGGATGTGGCACAGGCAGTTTTATAATTAAATCCTTTTCCTTTCAAATACTCTAAAGCCCCAACTTGTCACTGAGAAAGAAATTAATGAGAATACTATCTTTTCAGTGAGATGTAAAAGAAAAATATATATAAGTAATGAATACTGGGGCCATGCAGAATCCAAATACACTTTAAGAACAGAGGTGTTAGCTCTAATTAAAACAGCAAAATTCAGCCCCAGCTAGCTTGGTCCTGCATACATAAAGTCCACCTGGAATTTTATGTGGGGTGTTTGTGAGCCCCTAAGCCAAACTAATACTGATGCAATTCAGCTGTGGAAGAAGGGCCCTTGTTTATACTTTGCAGATGGAAAGATGGAAAGAACACTTAGGTGGCTAAGTACATCACCATTTTCAGATGACAGGCACTGAATGTTTAAGTATTATCTCTGGGGATGCCACATCATGGACAAAGAAGGTCACGACCCTACTATGTGTCATGGATGCATCTAGATTAACATGCACAATCTGGAGGTTCTTAGTCTTAGAAAACTATTGGGAACCAGAGGGAACTCAACAATAACAGAAAATAAAATAAAATGAAATAAAGGCTAATCAATGAGGAAGCTTTTGAAGTGCATTTTACTTGTTCAAGCTTTTGTGGAATGAAAACAGGACTACTTACTGGCATAATGAAGGGTGTGTGGACTAGGGAGTTTTTTCCTTGCTAAAGAAAAATCAACAGGTTGAAAGTGAGGCAAATTTCTGATAGTGTAATAATCAAAAATGTATTAGATTGTGGAATGTTCTTTCCTATTCAGGGAAGCACTATTCCTCAACAGTCTAAAACTAACCTGAAAAGGGCACTGGAGGAGTCAGCAGACCATACAGGAATTGCAAGAGGTTCTTTTCTCATACCCCACATCTTTAATTTCTATGAAACTTGTTTGAGATCTCAATTTAAAATACCTTATACATAACTACCACCACACACGCATACCCTTACACAAATAGGCAATAAAAAAGTAACCCAAACAGAATTAGGTTACCCTTGTAAATAGCCAGATGGTCCCTTCAATATTCTAAGGAAAAAAAATAGTGACACATGGTTCACAGCAGATGTTGTGTTTAACAGATTATTATACTTGTGTTCTCTCTTCAGCTTCTGGGTCATTTATACACTTGAAAGAAGAATCCAGATGGCTCTTTTGGTACCACGCTCAATACAAGCCTTAATCCAATATACTCAACCAATGCTGTTTATAATATACAGCCAAATAGCATATTGTGGATAAATATCTGCTGGGCATCAGTGGGGTGGGGGGGTAGGAAAGAGGACATTTTACAGGTATTTAATCTTACAGCGTTCCAAGCTCATGGGCTTGAAAGGACCTTCAGGGCCATCCAGTTCAACCCCACTTACGCATTCCAAGGTTCTTGACTTTGAAATGAAAGGTATTTGCTTGCAGCTCAAAAAGGTTGTTTGAAAAATTCAACTTAGACCAGTGGAGGCCAATCTTTTTAGCATGTGTACCGCTGAGCAAGCCCTACACACTTTCTGAGTGCCACTTCAATCTTGTTCCCTTGCCCAACCCATCACTCAGCTTTCTGCTCCCTGCCTTTCTGCTGCTCTACTTTCTACTCCCTGCCCATGTGCCACTGGGCTTTCTGCCCAACCTGCTACACAGAGGTTGCCCATGCCACAGGTTGACTATTTCTGACTTAAACTATGCTTAACCTGTACTGTGTTTTGGGGGTGTTGGTTGTAGCCACGTTGGTCTAAGGACATAGGTAGACAAGGTTCTTTGGGTAAACATGATAACTTTTATAAGACCAACTAAATAGTTGGACAAATTGTTCTTTGCAAGCTTTCAGATATAAAAAACTGCTAGGAAAAAGGGTGTTTGTACCCAAAAGCTTGCAAAGAACATTTTTCCAACTATTTAGTTGGCCTACTAAATGACATAATTTACCCAAATAACCTTGTCTGCCTATAACCTGTACTATGTCATCTAACACGCATTAAATGGGAGGGTCAAAATATTGACTATGGTAGGGACAAACAATTTTCTCCGACTTAACCAACTTCAAGTACTAACACAACTTACAAACCCAGTTAACAGGTTTGCAGGTTGAAGATCTCACACAATGTGTCACTGTGGCCTATCTGAAAACACTTGCAGACTACCCACACACTCGGTATGCATCAACAGTTTAAAGATACACAGATGTATTAATGTTTATCTTGCCTTCTCCAAAAGGATGAAGACTCACTGAACAAGTTCTCATTACCAATTATACATCATCTGATTTAAATGAGGCTGCTCAACTCTAAAACAAGGGCAGAATACAGTCTTGTATTTACAATTAAAACAAAACTATTAGGACTAGTAAGAAAAAAGGTGGCACATTGCATATTGTCAAATTCCAAGCAAAATCCAATGTTAAGTGGGCCACAGTGAAGGATTTGGAGCTCAGAGCTGCCACCATCCACCCATAATTCATAAAGTGGATGCAACAGGGTAGCCGGCAACTTTAATAATCATAGAGTTTAGAGCCAGCCAGCCCTTTATTTATTAGACCAGATGGTAAGCTGTTAACTGTTCCCTGTAAAAGGCTGACAGGGCCACAGGAAAGAGCTACAGAAGGTGACAGGCTCCTAATGTCAACTCCAAACACAGACACTGAAGGGATGAAGCCTCTAGAAGCAGCAGTGTCCAGGATGGGCCATAAAACTGTTCTGTATGATATCAAAATTTAGGCAAAATGTAAGAAGTACATAACTGTATCTTGCCAGAGATATGGGCATGCCTGAAGCCCCTGCCTAGTCTAGAAAACAGGCCAGGAGGGAGCTTATAATGATCTGGGAAAGTATTCAGTTGAACATTTGAATGCAACCTGGTTAAGAGACATGACATAAAAGGCTGCAGGTAAGAATAACTATCTAGAAAGCGTAACAGAGCAAATTACTAAAAATTTGGTCTCTTACAATGAATTAAACAGGGTAAAGTCCAAATATACAATGTGGAAAACATGTCAAGGAGGACAGGTTTGGTTGCCTCTTGGGGGCCAGTAAATGGCAATGATGCTAAAGGTAAGTTACACTGATTAATTTAACAGCTACTTAAACAACTGTTACATTAGGTCTGGGTTAACACCACATCACAAAACTACTATCCTACTTCGTGTACCAGAGAGTTTCCAGGGTTTTATGATGATGGTAAGCCAATTATTTCAGCCCTAATTTACATCAAAGTTGACCACCTGCTGAGACATATTAAGGCCTCATCTGGAGATATTTTTTACCCTGAAATAATTCAATAGAAGGCATGCAAGAGATATTTTAGTTCCTGATATTGTGCCAGCCAATTTACATAATATTTTGAAGACTTGTCAAAAACAATGATTTTTATCCATCTATGGTTCATTTAAAAAGTGCTGCTTGGTCCTTACAGAACAAGGCAAGTATGTTCCCAGACACTATTTAATAGTTGATGAAATGTATTTCATGATACAGAAAATTGGAAGTGCAAACAAACCTAAAGGGCTTCTCTGGAAATAGACTCTATACTTCAGTATTTCCATTAATGTGTTAATTTTCAAAACAGTTCTGGAAATAACTATTTCCATGTGTTCCAAACAATTAACCATGGATTTTCAGAGGGTTTCTACTCTACCAAAGATTCCACACGCATATACAGACAGGAAGTAGGAATGCCAAAGGAAAACTTTGCCGAAGGAAACTACTAAGGTAGATTAGCATTTCAATAATTAAAGCGTGTGCTTACCTTGAAAGATAGGACTGGCTTTGTAAGTTAAAACTGTTTTTAATGAGCCAGCCAAAAGAAAAGATACCATTTTCTAAAAACAGGAACCAAGATACCAATGCTTTCAACTAGAAAACTGAAGGCTCCAACAGCAGGAACTACTTTTCATCATAACACACTAGTTATTGAGACATCAGTATCTGGCTTTTCTAACAAGCTATGTGACAATGACTTGATTAAGGAAGTAGAACACCAAAATATCCAGAACAGTGGTCCTTATCTTGGCAAACAGCATAGGTGTAATTATAGGCATCATGAAGTTAAATAGTTGGTAGGAGCCAGGTGTTCACATAAGAGCTGGAAACCAGATTAATTATAAGTGGAAGGATTGTAAGTAGTCAACTTCCTCTGTAAACCCAAGCCTTCAAAGGGTGCTAAGCACTTCTATTTTTCTTTAACTTCATTTAGAAATCATTTCCATAATTCTCAATATTCCTGCCATGTTCTATCAGTATCCTTAACTTGCCCAGCATGAGAATCTGAGTGTGAAAACACAGGCAACTGAGCAGGCTCAGGAAGGAAACAATGTAATAGTTTGGAGTCTTACTGTCTGAAGAACAAATACTAAACATTAAACATCACAACACTCATGGTGCTCTGGTGTGGTGTCAGAGGACTGGAAGAGGGACAATGTGGTTCCCATCTTCAAAAAAGGGGAGGAAGGAGGACCTGGA